GAAGATGGGTAAGCCATCCAACTGATCTTTTGAATCAGTTAATTGGGATAGCTTGGCGTATTTATGTACCCCAAAACTGACAGCAAATAAATATATATTGTAATTATTATTGGAAATTAAATGTAATTGAGCAAGAAGGGGGGGGGGGAGGACAGATCCCTGTGTCTGCGTGGTTTTCCTCCGGATACTCAGGTTTCCTTCCATACTCCAAAGACATGCTGGTAGGTTAATTGGATCCTGTCTAAATTGGCCCTAGTATATGTATGTATGAATGTGAGTTAGGGACCTTAGATTGTACACCCCTTGAGGGTTAGGGACTGATGTGAATGTACAATATATATGTAAAGCACTGCGTAAAACTGACGAAGCTATATAAGTACCTGTAATTAATAAATATACAGTAAGTATATTGCTATCTACCGACTTGAGGCCTCAGCAGGATCTCTTGTGTATTGGCTTTGTTTGTCATGTCTTTTGAGCCATTTTTGTGCAGATAGTCTTCTACTGACTTTGAGCTTTGAACTACCTCAGCAACATAGCTTGCAGGTCCATGACTTTTTGTGACTGCTGAAGCCACCTTTCATGCCTTTCCATTGGCCCAGCACTTAATACTGAAACACTATTTAAAAAAATTCTAAAACTTAAAAAAAAAATTTAAATAAAAAAAAACAGCATTATTTTTTGCTCTGCATGAACAGTTTCTTTTTACAGCTCCTTTTTTATTTTATATTTATAAATTCATATTTTTAAAGTGTGCACTGGAGATTGCTTGCCTAAATTGGAGTCCTTGCAGAAAGAATTGCAGAAGGAATTTTCACTTATAGTCTATGAAAAAGACAATACATTTGTTCTCAGCGCAGGGAGTCTGGCTCTAGTGGCATTTAGTGTAGGGATCCCCATGCTGAGGAAATGTGAGAAATCTTTATATTTCCTAAATAAAATATTTAAATCTCCTAAAGAATATGTAAACCCTTAACAATCAACTTCTTTTTTTTTTTTTTGCTCTCCTTTGACCTGTGAAAGCATTTTGTACAGTGTCTGTCAACAAGTGGCTAAATGGTTAGCACTTCCTCCTGGCAGTACTAGGGTCGTTGGCTCGAATCCCAGCCACGGCACCACCTGCCTGGAGTTTGTATGTTCTCCCTGTGCCTGCATGGGTTTCCTCTGGGTACCCTGGTTTCCTCCCACACTCCAAAGACATGCTGGTTGGTTAATTGGCTCCTGTCTAAATTGTCCCTAGTATGTGTATGTATGAATGTAAGTTAGGGACCTTAGATTGTACACCCCTTGAGGGTTAGGGACTGATGTGAATGTACAATATATATGTAAAGAGCTGCATAAATGGACGGTGCTATATAAGTACCTGAAATAAATAAATAAATAATAAGGCACATTGTCAGAAATTACTACACTTTTGGCACCCCCCTCTTTTTGGCTCCATTTGAGGAGCTATTAAACCCACAGAGCAATTCCCAATAAATCCAGCATCCAGAGGAGGGAGCCCTGTACCCAGGCTGAATACCCACATATCCTTAAAGAAGACCTCTGGACCCAGCAGATTATTACTTCACCCAAGCTTGATGACCATTTCTCCTGAGGGAAGCTCACCATCTGCCTGCTGTTTAAATTCCATCTGGTGGGTTATACACATGCGCATTTTCTATGCGCAGTCGGTGAGTGCGCATTTCTGCCATTTTTGTTTTCTTGTCACAAGCTTTACAAGATATCTACTGTTGTGGAGATTACCATTGGTGCCATTTATGAGATATAGTCAGTTGGACGAACTTATTTTGAACAAAATTTTTATTTGTATTATATATTCATTTTTAGCACTGCACTTTATTTACTCAACATTATAGGCCAGCCTACTACAAGCTTAAATCTGGCATCACTGGTAAAGAATAGGGCAAGCCTATAACTCAATGTATTATATTCTTTTAACATTTATCTCTGCAGACTGGACCACTCACTTTGTAGCTTGGGTAGTCAATGACGTTTGAGAGCTAACAAAAAATGTAAAGGTAACGCCTAGAAGCTATAAAAGTACATTATAGTTGTAGCGCTGCTGATATGTTAATCCATTGTCTCAGGAGTTGCCACTGAACCAGAGGAATTCTGAACATGCTGTAGACAGCAGCAGTGTTTACTCAGCACATACTTCTCATCTAAATACCTGACATTGACATTTGTGCCTTTATTATGTTCTTAAGTGGAACAGTTCTTCTCAAAATGTTCGAGTGTTTTACAAACCATGTTTTACACAGATTAGCATGTCTAATAAAAAAATGGACTAAAATGTCTATAAATCTCAGACATTTTGACAGGAAATTGTTTGCAATTCTGTAATGTACACGTTCTAATAAGACATATTCAAAATACTTGACAAGCTTGCATCTGCTTTTCTGTTTTGATTTTTGTATGATGACCAATATTTTTTTTGAGTGTCTATTACTGTATTACCTCCACAACCGCTGCAGTTCTCTTAGGACTCATGTACACTGCAGCTGCTAAACTGACGTTCAGGAACTGTTCAGCATTTTTTTTCAGCAGCCCCTGAACTCTGCCTAATGTTTTCCTATGTGTCCATGTACACATCATTGTCTACAGTCGTTCACAGGCAGTTGAGTTTACAGTTGTTTTTTTGAACGCACCACACTTGCGTTCAGGAGTAGATTTTACTGGCGTTTCAAACGCTTGTAAACACGGTTAACCACGTCTATAAGGCCCCATGTACACGGGACACTTCTGAACGCATTTACGCGCGTTTATGTGCGTTTGCGTTTAGAAGAGTTTTTTAAAGATAAGCACAGGAGAACCTCCCAAATGCCCAGAATGCACTGAAAAGTGGTAAATTATTAACTATTTCATACTGTTTCAGAGAAATACAGAAAGTGGAAGCAGAGACAGCAGTATGTGTTGAAATTAGCTTAGGTGTGAGTTGCTCATTAACCTTTCTTTTGTTTCCAAGGGTGGGAAAGGTGTCTGGTGGAGTGAGTCATTAAGGCCACCTGGCAGGATGTCTTCATGAGGAATTTGAGGTGTGAATGGTCATTAACATATCTTTTGTTTCCAAGGGTGGGAGAGGTCTGAGGTGTGAATTGGTCATTACAATGTGTGACAAGCTTGGAAACAACATCATGATTTCAGTGTTCTGTCCATCTGAGTACCTTGAAAATGCATTGCATGCATTTTTCATGATCAAAAAAGGCTCTGGACAGCATCAGAAACTGGAAGAGTTAAAATAAAAAAATTCAGACACAAACACTTATAAACACGATTTGCCATGTTTATAAGCGTTTCGCATTTGTAAAATCGACTGCTGAACGCACGTTTTCTGCATTCAAAAAACGACTGTAAACTCAAATGCCTGTAAACGACTATAAACAAAGATGTATACATGGACACATAGGAAAACATTAGGGGGAGTTCAGGGGCTGCTGAAAAAAATGCTGAACAGCTCCTAAATGTGAGTTTATCAGCTGCAGTGGACATGAGCCCTAAGGCCCCATGTACACAGGACATTTCTGAACGATGGATACTGACTGCTGGAAAACGTGGGTAAAAAACCATCTGTTTAGCTGCATTTGCATAATGCATTTATGTGCATTTGCGTTTAGAAGTGTTTTTTAAAGATAAGCACAGGAGAACCTCCCAAATGCCCAGAATGCACCTGTCAGGGGGTCTTCATGAGGAATTTGAGGTGTGAAAGGCATTAATATATCTTTTGTTTCCAAGGATGGGAGAGGTCTGAGGTGTGAAATGCATTAACATATCTTTTGTTTCCAAGAATGGGAGAGGTCTGAGGTGTGAATTGGTCATTACAATGTGTGACAAGCTTGGTAGGAACATCCTGTGTTCAGTGTTTTGTCCATCTGAACACCTTGAAAACTCTTTGCATGCATTTTTCATGATGAAAAAAGGCCCTGGACAGCAATGGGAACTGGATGAGTTAAAAAAAATTTCAAATGCAAACGCTTATAAACGCAATTTGCCGTGTTTAGCTGCGTTTACAAGCATTTTGCGTTTGAAACGCTGATAAAATCGACTGCTGAACGCAAGTTTGTTGCGTTCAAAAAAACAACTGTAAACTCAACTGCCTGTAAACAACTGTAAACGACTATGTGTACATGACACATAGGAAAACATTAGGGTGAGTTCAGGGGCTGCTGAAAAAACGCTGAACAGCTCCTAAACGTTAGTTTAGCAGCTGCAGTGTACATGAACCCTAAGCATTTGCGTTTAGAAGCGTTTTTTTTAACTGTTCCGTGTCCAGATGCTGTCCAGAGCCTTTTTTCATCATCAGAAATGCATGCAAAGCACTTTCCATGTATTCAAATGGACCTGGTACACCAGCGCAGTCAGTTCCAGGTTTTGCGTGAAATAAAAAATGGTAGAACGTGCTGCATTATGCTCATGATGGGATCCATAGTGAATACAACCAGAAAAGACAGGTTATCTTAACATATACTGCTCTCTCTGCTTCTGCTCTCTCTATTCCTCTCAAAATGTCTGAAATAGTTAATTTTATACTGTTTTTCAGTGCATTCTGGGCATTTGGGAAGGTCTCCTGAGGTTATCTTTTAAAAAAGCTTCTAAATGCAAACGCTCATAAATGCAGTATGCAAACGTGGCTAAACTGACGTTTTTTAACCTACGTTTTCCAGCAGTCACTTTCCATCGTTCAGAAGAGTTTTCCAAACGTCCCGTGTACATGAGCCCTAACATGTTATTGACCCTGGCTGTTCAAGATCTCTGGTGAAGTGAATGTATTTGATATTATATGTTGACACTCTATTCTCTTTGTGAGTAGATTGGATTGCTAGGTTATTTTTAATAACATTGTAACTGAAGTCACAAAGCTACAAGTATATAGGAGGATATCGCCTCTTAAAAGGCTAAGGCTAAAAAATAAAACACTGTAATAGTTAAAGCAGAGTTCCACTCAACCTATCAAAAAATAAAAGTCAGCAGCTACAAAAATTGTAGCTGCTGACTTTTAAAAAACAGCCACTTACCTGTCCCTCGGTCCTCTGGTGTGTCCCCCGCAGCCCGTTTCACTGGGTGTCTTGTATTCCAGGAGGCTGGCATCTTCAGTGTGGGTACCTGGCTGAGATAGCTTGCGGCTTCACAGCCGGGTGCCCACTGCGCATGCGCGAGTAGCGCTGCACATCATGAATGGTCCTATAGTCTTCTGGGACCTGTCACGTGTCCCAAAAGACTACAGGGTGGGAGGGAGGACACCTTCCGCTTCCAATCGCCTAGGCAATCGGACCGGAAGTGGAAGCGGGTACCTGTCAAATTCGGATACCCGCTCCCCCCCCCTGCTTCCCAAAGGTGCCAATCCTTAATGGGGAGCAGGGGGACCAGTCCTTAAAGCGGAACTTCCCCTTTTGGGTGGACCTCCGCTTTAAACTAAATAAGTGCATACATATGCCCTATGAAGACCCTCACCCCTCTTAAGGGTGATCAAAATTTTAAAAAAAATTGATTGAATAAGCTGAGTGAGTACAGTAATCATAAATACATGTAAGAAAGCATGATATGTGGTCAAATGAACCTAAAATATCATGCATTATCTATGAGCCCTATGAAAGAGCAGTGCCTCCCTTTGACGTTATCGCGCCGTCGGCCATCCTGAATCGGCCATCATGTGATTGCTTTTAATTGTTCTACAGCTTGTAAGTATGATCCTATTTGCGCAAATAAAGAATTTTTTGATATGTATTGCACTACGAGAGGCATGTTTTGTGTACTTTCATGACCTTATCTGGCACTACACTTTGAGTTTTCATTCGAGTTGGAGTCCAGGAAGTTCCATGTTTCGGGGTGTGATATGGGAAGCCTGTCACTGCTCTACATTATAAAGATGGTTGAGACCCCCTGTAATTAAGGGGTCTCCATTTCTGGCAAGCCTCCATTAGTTACTTTGGTGGTGGTGTGCACTGTGGTTGAAGCAACTTTATCTACATTTGCACTTACAGCAATGTCTACAATAATACCATTGATTGTGGAATTTTCTTCTCATACTTATGAACTATGGGTTGTCTATATGGACTTTTTTGTTGTTTTTTTGTTTTTAACATTTTTCTACTAACCTTTATGTATATTTGAGGTGAATTTTTTGCACATTGAGATTTGACCTATCCTTATCCTCAATCACTCTTTAGAGGTGTGAGGGTCTTCATAGGGCTCATGGATAATGCAGGTATTTTAGGTTAAATTGACCACATCACAGTTTCTTACACGTATTTATGATTACTGTACTCACATCAATTTTTTTCAGATTTTGATCACCCTTCAGAGGGGTGAGGGTCTTCATAGGGCATATGTATGCACTTATTTAATTTAAGTATTACAGTGTTTTATTTTCAGAGGTGTGAAGGTTTCCATTGTGCTCATAAAGTTTTAAGAGTTCACCTAGCGCAGTATCCATTTGAATTAGCCTTTTAAGAGGTGATATCCTCTTATATACTCACAGCTTTGTGACTTCATTTGATTGGGGGTTTGCACGGTTTGATCTTGCATACAATCATTTTAATAACATGTCTTAAGCATTAGATGTGGCTTTCGTATTTTGAGGGGCATTTGAGGATTTTAACCAAATACCCTGTAGATGAGTTTGGATTTTTTTTTTGGTAAGATCCCAGCTTCCTTTAAGGGTAAAGCCATGGAGTATCTTCCTGTTCCTATTAAATACTGCCCATTTTAACCTCATTGAGATCAGTTCCAAGGTGAGCAGACTCACAAACAGTGCAGGAGGTAGTATTGGATGAAGAGTTCATGGATCAACAAAGGGAAGATCACTACTGATTCCAGTGCAAATGTCTTGGGGGGGATTAAAAGACTGGTTATTTGCACAATTCTTTCACTATTTATTTACTGATAGAGTTAGAGAGGGCATATGATATTGTGAATTCACACTTACAAATATATTTATATTTTTGGTGCACATTTTCTGTATGAATTTTCACATTTTACATAATATTATTTATTGAAGCAGGGATTGATAAGCACTGCACATAATATTGTTCATTTGATGTAGTTTATGTCCTGTGGGTGATACACCAATTGTGCTGGCTTGTTTTTTTTTATGATTGATTTGTTGTGTGGGCAAATATAATTAAAATTTTTTATTTTTAGATGGTATTGTGGCTCCAGCTGGGCAATGTCAAAATGTTTCTAAAAATAAATATTGAAAACCAGGGGTGGACTGACAACTCATGGGGCACCAGGCAATAGGGGATCATGGGCCCCTGTGTCCTTGCCCAAACTCAAAAAAGCCTATGAAAAAAGGTACCAGAGGCATCTCATGGGGCCCCCTACTGACCCCGGGCCCGAGTTTCCAAATGGTCAGTCCGCCCCTGTTGAAAACAGAATGACAGCAATATATATTTATTTATGCTCATCTCCCTGCTCTCTCTTACTATCAGCATGCTTCTTCTTAGAACATAAACAGGAATAGAAGGCTAGGAATAGCAGACTGGTTACTTGTGCTGCTTCTCCTTTTTCAATCTAAGCTCTGTACAGGGTACAAATTAGTGATGTTGGAGTCATCGGGAGAAACCACAAAGCACTGCAAGGGACTCAGAATATTGGTATTACCAGAAGTGGTGTTTTCAGAAGAATCTTTCACTGGCAATTTCTTCTTACTGGAATGGTGTTCAGTGGTGTAGGCAGCAAATCACATCATTTACTCTCTTCTTTTAAGATACATCTCCTAGTTAACATTTCATTTTTCTGACAGAGTTCCTTTAAGGGAGATGTTGAATAGGAGCCTATGGCATTGTGCCCATTTTAGTTGAGAATGACATTTTAGTTTTATTTACATGTTTTGTCACATTGTGATCTGACATTTTATAATATATTTGTATTATTGCAAGCCGCTGACTCATTGTCAGATGAATAGGATGATGGATAGCACCGTTATTGAGAAATGTACAAAAGAGTTCAGCCACCATGATAAAAGTGGTATACAATAGCCAAAAATCTATTTTTTTTTAATATATATTTTTTAATTTTAGGCAAGCAAAAAATCATGAACGCTGTCTTCCTGTTTGCTTTAAATTAGTGCTAAAACACGTTTTCAGGCCCAGGATTTTGCTAATAGAATTTGAGAGACAAATCATAAACTGTTGTGTGGTTTTACTCTCCAGCATTTACCAAAAACCCTCAGCGCAATTTAATTTTTTAATTTTGTAGCCATTTCACCCTTTGTAACAACTTTGTACTATTTAGTAGACATTTTGCAAATTGCAATACCGATATCATAAATTGGGTCCGCTGACTAATGTGATAATTAATTTTCCTTAGAGATAGTGCAGAAACCCGGGAGGAGCAAGAAATGATGATGCATGTTCAAAAATCAGGAAGATCATCTCGATAAAAAAATGGGAAAATCCTCTGCCAGCACATAAGCTCTTTTGCTTATTGGATTTTGCCCTTGTTTCATAAATGATCTTCCTCTTGCTGGATTGACACATATGAAGTTTTGACTTGTCTCATTTGATGTTTGATTGGTAAGGATTTGTTGGTATGTCTCATATGATATTTGATTGAAATTAAGTTTTGGTCTGTCTCATGTGATATTTGATGGGTATGTATGCTTCATGTGAAGTTTTGATTGAGAAGGGTTTCTGTATGTCTTATGTGTTTGTTTTTCATGGAATTCATAGTTGTCTGGATTATATAATAAACAGTGGAAATCTCAATCTACAGTTCTTTACTCAGTCCCTAGAGTGAAAGGTGCTAATTCACTGAAAATCCTGATTAGATAGGCTGACTGTGTGACAGCCCTTTCAAGCCAGACAGGCTTAAAGCCATACTGGCAGTTAGTGCACTAACAGAAGGGCAGACAAGCCTGAGCCATATGGGCAGTTATTGCACTAGGGGAAGGTCAGATAGGCCTGGGCTAGATGCGCCCAAAAGAAAATCCAAATCATGTAGGCTGACTGTGTGACAGGGTGTGAGTGAGAGCAAGCCAGACAGATCTGGGCCAGACAGGCCCAAAATAGGGGTTATGGCTAAGGAACATATGATATGGACCATGGTTAGTCAAAGCCCTATATGATTGGCACAGGAAAACAAAGGGAACTCATCCACCTTACTAACCATTCCATATCTGCCACCCCTCTTTTCCAATCCCTCCACTGGCTTCCCATTTTCCAACGGATAAAATTCAAAACATTAACAATAACATATAATAAGCCTTGTCTCCAAATATCACCCAACTACTCTTTACTCCTCGCACGACCTCCTGCTCTTGTCTACCTTGTCTCCTCCTCCCATGCTCGTCTCCTCCCATGCTCGTCTCCAGGACTTCTTCAGAGCTTCCCCATCCTCTGGAACTCTCAATTTATCAGACTATTGCCTACTCTGCTCACTTTTAGGCGATCTCTGAAAACCTATCTCTTCAGGGAAGCCTATCCTGCCCTTAGCTAATAATGGAATCTTCTATTCCTCCTATGAGTTATTACCTTTTGTACCACTAGCCCCTCCCTCTTAGATTGTAAGCTCCAAGGAGCAGGGCCCTCTTAACACTCTTGTATTGAACTGTATTGTTGCTGTATTGTCTCCCGTAATATTGTAAAGCGCTGAGCAAACTGTTGGCACTATATAAATCCTGTATAATAATAATAATAATAATAATGTGATATCCAAAGAAGGTAAATTAGATGTACAAATGTGGAGACAACTTTTAAGACACAGTAGCCCTATTTACTGAAACATGATCAACTCAGAGAATACAGAAAGTGATAACAAAAATTTAGCTATGATTTCCCAGTAGACAGAAAAAAAAACCGAAGCAATGTCAAAGTTAGTGCAGTTTTGATTGGGAACATTATCCTGCCTTAAAAGAAGAAGAAGTTCCTGACTATGAGAAATCTAGTACTGAGGAGCCAGTGAGAGAAGGTCAAGTTATAGGAATGACAGATACAGTACCACCAAAATAAAAAGATGAGAAATACCTCCAGAGACAGGAAATGCTTGTGTCATTGCAAGTTTTGGGTTAGGAGGAACAGGGGCGGACTGACGGGCAATAGGGGATCATGGGGCCCCTGTGTCCTTGCCCAAACTCAAAAAAGCCTATGAAAAAGGTACCAGGGGCATCTCATGGGGCCCCCTACTGACCCCGGGCCCTTGGGCAGTGCCCGAGTTTCCAAATTGTCAGTCCACCCCTGAGGAGGAACAACTGTGCCCCTAAAAGTTATGGTCCCATGTAAAGTACAGAAATTATTACCTGTCTTTTTGGTTCTAAAATTATTCCTATTACTTTTTAGGAGCAGACATCATAAATAAAATGCAAGTCTAAACAAAAGCTGCAGCAGCTGTTCTCTTCGTAAAGATAGCGAGTCCATCATATACCTCTATGCAGGGGCGGACTGACAACTCATGGGGCCCCCAGGCAATAGGG